TCCCCGCCCAGAGCTGGAAAAAGGTAAGTTTTTAACCCTTTCCCCTTCCAGAGCTGGGCGGGAGGGGGTCCCTGAGGGTGGGGGCACCCTCAGGGCACTATAGTGCCAGGAAAACGAGTATGTTTTCCTGGCACTATAGTGGTCCTTTAAAATATCTAAATTCCAATTCCAGGAAAAAAATTGTGACTATTTGCAGCTTAATGAAACCTGGTATGTGTGAAAAAATATTAGCTAAAATTTATTTGAAACAAGGGATGCATTGGCCCCAGCAGCAAAACATGTATGCATGTTCAGGTGAGGGCAGCCTATATCCTGTATATACTTGAGTATAAGTCGACCCAAATATAAGTCGAGGCCCCTAACTTTACCCCAAAAAACTTGGAAAACTTATTGACTCGAGTATAAGACTAGGGTGGGAAATGCAGCAGCTACTGGTAAATTTCTAAATAAAACTGGATCTCAAAAAAATTCTATTAATCGAATATTTATTTAAAGTGTGTGTATATAATGATTGCAGTGTTTGTGTGTGTGTGAGTATATAATGCCGAGTGTGTGTGTGTGTGTATGAATGCAAGTGTGTGTGTATGAATGCAAAGTGTGTTTGTGTATGTGATGCAGAGTGTGTAACCTTGGTGGGGGGTGGACATTTTTTTTATTATTATTATTATTTTAATATAAAATTTTATTTTTAATATTATTACATTTTTATTTTATTTTAATATTATTAAAATGTTTATTTTATTATTATTAAAATGTTTATTTTATTTTTTTCGTCCCCCCTCCCTGCTTGTTAGCTGGCCAGGGAGGGGGGCTATATTATTCCCTGGTGATCCAGTGGTGTGTACTGTGCAGGAAGGGGGCTGGCAGTGAGCTGTTACATACCTTTCCTGCAGCTTCTGTCAGCTCCCTTCTCCTCCATGCCGGTCAGCTCTCCTGTCAGCTCCCACTGTAAGTCTCGCGCAGCGTGTTGCCTCAGTAACCTGTTGCAACGCTCTGACGGCCTTGGCTCTCGCGAGACTTACAGTGGAGCTCAGGGGCGGACTGACCACTCGGGCACTTCGGTCATGGACCGAGGGCCCGAGGCAGTCAGGGGCCCGGCAGCACAGCCATGCTCCAGCTGGAGAGATCAAAGATCTCTCCAACTGGAACAGCAAAATTAAAAAAAATAAAACTATTTAATTGATAGGTTGTGGGGCCCCTGATGCAGCTTGGGGCCCCACAACCTACCGCCCTGTAAGTCCCCCCCCCATGGAGACCTGGCAGCTTTACCTCCTCTCCCTCGCTGCCAGGTCTCCTTCTCCCTGTCCCGCGGTGCTCTGTGTGATGGGAGAGGCGGGGCCAGGAAGTGACATCACTTCCTGTACTCGCCTCTCACACACAGAGCCCAGAGGGGAAGGAGCAGCAGCCAGGGAGATCAGAGTAAGCACAGGTAGGCTCTATTCACCCCCTCCCTAGTCACCCCCCACACTGTCACTAGTCACCCCCCCTGTCCCTAGTCACCCCCCCACTGTTACTAGTCACTGTCCTAGTCACTTACACTGTCACTAGTCACCCCACTGTTACTAGTCACCCCTGTCCTAGTCACCCCCACTGTCACTGGTCACCCCCTGTCCCTAGTCACCCCACTGTTACTAGTCACTTCCTGCCCTAGTCACCCCCCCCACTGTTACTAGTCACCCCTGTCATAGTCACTTACTGTTACTAGTCACCCCTGTCACCAGTCACTTGCCCCCACTGTTACTAGTCACCCCCTGTCACTAGTCCCTTACTGTCACTAGTCACCCCCACTGTCACTAGTCACCCCCCACTGTCACTAGTCACCCCCCTGTCACTAGTCACCCCAGGTCCCTAGTCACCCCCACTGTCACTAGTCACCCCTGTCCCTAGTCCACCCCCCACTGTCACTAATCACCCCACTGTCACTAGTCACCCCCCTCCTCTGTCACTAGTCACCCCCCGTCCCTAGTCACCCCCCCTGTCCCTAGTCACCCCCCCACTGTCACTAGTCACCCCGTCCTAGGTCACCCCACTGTCACTAGTCACCCCGTCCCTAGTAACCCCACACTGTCACTAGTCACCCCCCTCCCACTGTCACTGAGTCACCCCTCCCACTGTCACTAGTCACCACCTCACTGTCACTAGGCACCCCCTACAGTCTCAGATCACCCCCCTCCTGTCACTAGTCACCCCCCTCACTGTCACTAGTCACCCCCTCCTCACTATCACTAGTCACCCCTCCTCACTGTCACTAGTCACCCCCCCACTGTCACTAGTCACCCCTCCTCACTGTCACTAGTCACCCCCCCTCTCACTGTCACTAGTCACCCCCCCATCTCACTGTCACTAGTCACCCCCCTCCTCTGTCACTAGTCACCCCCCGTCCCTAGTCACCCCCCACTGTCACTAGTCGTCACCTCCCTCACTCTGTCACTAGTCATCCCCTCACTCTGCCACTAGTCACCTCTTCCCTCACTCTGTCACCTGTCACCCCCTCACTCTAGTGACAGAGTGAGGGAGGGTGTGACTAGTGACAGAGAGAGGGAGGGGGTGACTAGTGACAGAGAGAGGGAGGTGGTGACTAGTGACAGAGGGAGGGAAGGGGTGACTAGTGGCAGAGTGAGGGAAGGGAGGGGTGACTAGTGACAGAGTAAGGGGATGACTGGTGACAGAGTGAGGGAGGGGGTGACACAGTGACGGAGGGAGGTGATGACTAGTGACAGAGTGAGGGAGGTGGTGACTGTCACTAGTCACCACCTCCCTCACTCTGTCCCTAGTCACCCCTCCCTCTGTCACTAGTCACCCCTTCCCTGCTTAACTGTCACTAGTCACACCCTCCCTCACTCTGTCACTAGAGTGATGGGGTGACTAGTGGCAGAGTGAGGGAAGGAAGGCTTGACTAGTGACAGAGTGAGGGAGGTGGTGACTGTCACTAGTCACCAGCTCCCTTACTCTGTCACTAGTCATCACCTCCCTCTGTCACTACTCCCTCCCTCCTTCTATCACTAGTCACCCCCTCCGTCCCTCACTCTGTCACCAGTCATCCCCTCCCTCTGTCACTAGTCACCCCCTCACTCTAGTGACAGAGTGAGGGAGGGTGTGACTAGTGACAGAGAGAGGGAGGATGTGACTAGTGACAGAGGGAGTGGGTCACTAGTGACCGAGGGAGTGGGTCACTAGTGACAGTAAGGAAGGGGATGACTAGTGACAGAGTGAGGGACTAGTGACAGAGTGAGGGAGGGAGTGGGTGACTAGTGACAGAGTGAGGAAGGGGGTGACACAATGACAGAGTGATGGAGGGGGTGACTAGTGACAGAGTGAAGGAGGTGGTAACTGTCACTAGTCACCCCATCACTCTATCACCTGTCACCCCCTCACTCTATCACTAGTCACCCCCTCACCCTAGTGACAGAGAGAGGGAGGGTGTGACTAGTGACAGAGAGAGGGAGGGTGTGACTAGTGACAGAGTGAGGGAGGGAAGGGGTGACTAGTGAGAGTGAGGGAGGTGGTGATTAGTGACAGAGGGAGGAATGGGGTGACTATCACTGTGTCACCCCCTTCCTCACTCTGTCACTAGTCACCCTCTTCCTCCCTCACTCGGTCACTATTCACCCCCTCTCTCACTCTGTCACCAGTCATTCCCTCACTCTGTCACCAGTCATCCCTTCCTTCCCTCACTCTGCCACTATTCATCCCTTCCCTCACTCTGTCACCAGTCATCCCCTCACACTGTCACTGTGAAGGAAGGAAGGGGTGACTGGTGA